AAGAGAGTAGTTAAAAGCTATGAAATCCAAATCAGAGTCCTCAAGAGAAAGTAAGACTCTCGTCAATGGGACCATTTTGGCAACATACTTTGGTGTTGCTGTTCATCTCCTATTGACCTCTGTTAGCCTTCAAGTCTCTAGGATCACGGAGGCTTCCTGCAGACAAGACACGGCAGCTCCTGCTCTAAGTCCACATGCAGGTTTGTTTGCAGCCCTAGAGAGCCTCTCATATGACCTATGACTGTTGTCCAGTGCAACACCAGGCTTTCATATTAGCTGATATGTTCTAAATAAACAAACAAAAAGAAACAGAAAGAAAAACTATCACCTGTTCCCATATATGGTTCCAGGCTGTGACAAACAGGCTAGAAGCCCTAGCTGAAGCAACCTTCAACTTAAGTTAGATTCTTGGAGTCCTGCAGGTCCCTCTTTTCACACCACCACCACTGTCTCCCCTGAGAAACAGCTTCTGAAGATGGGCTAATGTGAAACAGCACCTGAGTGCAGAGGTTCACCTCCCATGCCAAATTATGATTTGAGCAACACTGATATATTTCTGGAGTCATCTCCATGGAGAGGGAGGTCTTCCTCTTGTGCTTCACTCAGATTCAGCAAGAAGGTGCCTGCCAGTTTTCAAGGATGTGTTCTTAGGATGCTGAAATTTTACTCAGCGAGCTAATGACCAGATGCTCACATTCGGCTTTAATTGGAAGAGTTTTGTCATTAGTACTACTGAATGGAACAGCTTTCCCATATGGGAAGGTCTCTGGCTGTTACTGAAGAGATGGGTGTTCACCAATCTCAAGAGACCAGACCCCACTGCAACCATGAGCTGCTATGCTCAGCCCAACAACTCTGCGGTGGCCACAGAGCCACATACAGACACCCAACTGTGGTCCCCACAGTTCTAGGTTTGGTGCCACAGCAAAGCACAGCAGAAAACCCAAGCTCTTATTACACCCAAGATTAAATGCCCAAAGACATTCCCAGCTGAAGTCTAACACTGGTAACTGTTCTGTGTCCTAGACCTAGGCAGACACTGTGTTTTAATACCCCCAAAGCTGTTTTGCACTCCTAGCCCTATTAATAGTGCTGTTAACAGCCTCACTCTTCCATTTCAGGCCTGACTGCCTGTCCATAAGGAGTGTCCCAATAATCATCAGAAATGCCTTTCCACATCAGACCAGTGGTCAGTCTAGCTCAGTATTTGTTTCCAAGAGTAATGCTTTACCTGACAATCTATTCAGAGACTGCTGATCTGGTCCTAAAGGACAGTGCCAATGAGGAAAATAATTTATGGTTTATCATCTCCTTAAGATTTTTAGCTCAACTAGGCCGCTACAGTGGTAAGAGATTACTGTATCTGTTGTATTTTGCCTGCTGTCACCACATTGCTTTCTACCTACTTAGTTCACCAGCAAGGTGCTGGTCTTAGGAGACCTTCCCAGTGAGAATAGTAATAGCTCTCTTCTCTTTCCTTCCCTATGAAGTTTCATGTTCCCTTTGTATCCTGGGAACAAGCCCTCTCTGATGCGGAGATGGAGCTGTGTTGTGTGTTTCACTCTGAACACTGTGAGTCTGGAGCCTGCTTCTCATAGTAGGGTATTCAGGATGCAAGTCTCACTCCCAGGGAACTGCTTTGGAACAAAGGACTTTTTGCAAGGGGTCACAGGCAAAGGGAGTGAGGTGATTTTTCAAGGAACTTGGTCCAGTCACAGCTGAGGTGTGTTAAGCACACTGGCATCCAGATGTGTGCACCTACCAGCACAGAACAAAGCCTGTAAGCATATCCTACAAGCTCTTCCAGCCCACAACACTCAGTGGCAGTAACCTAGCCTGGAGACAGAGAATCTGTGACAGCCTATGCACCCATGCCAGGCTATGTCTGATATGACAGGACGAATCCTCACAACTGGACCCTGCTACTACTGTGGAGCCCAGACAGCCCAGAGCTATTGACTGCACAAATAATGAGACCAGTAGTCTCTCTGTGAATAACGTGATGTAGGGAGTAGGCTCTTTTGGGACCTTCCATCTTCCTATCACTGCTGTCAACAAAATGCAGATTCATCACATACTGCCGCTCCAGCAGAAATGGCTACTGTTTCTGGCAAGCCTCAGGAAGGCTGATAGCTGTTCAGTTCGAGTTTGATGAGAAGGCAATTCAGGTTGTGAGCAGGTAGTGCCTCACTCTGTATTATACCACTTAAGTACCAAGGTGTTTCATGCCAAAGCTGCATAACTCTGGAGAAAAAGGAAATCCATCTGGAACTCTGGAGGTGGCAGGTTTCGAGGGAAGAGATGCTTGGCCCCAGTGACCCATGGCTTTAATTGCCTTGTCTCTCAAGCTGCCTTGGAAAATGGCATCTGTTTTTCCTCAGGAAGGTAAGCAAAAAGCCATTTGCAAGACTGCTGCAGACACTCTCCAAGCCTGAATCTAACCAAGTCAGTAGTTAAGGGGGTCTGATCCCCGTGAGTTTTAGGAGATCCCTGAAGCGAATGACTGGTCAAAAGTGAGTTATTCTCTAAAAGAAAGTCCCTCATAATTCAGGCAGAGCAGAAAGACCATTCTGAGAGTCACCAAACAGCTGAAAGAAGGGATGGTGAACCTGATCCTGAATATCCTTCCTTCCTAGAAGGATGGGACTCTCCCTGCTGCTATTTTTGCTCCTCAGCTCTCCTCACTTTTGAGTCTTCAGTCTTTGAGAAGGATGGCTTCTCTGAGCCACCTGACTAATAATCTGGAGCTAGAACAGTTCGTGTGTGTGTGCACATTTCAGACTTGCCTGTATCATCCTTGCAGTTCCTTCAATGGAGCAGTCCTCCCCTTCCTCCCCCCAGAGGAGACTGGCTTTGGCTCCGAGTGTGCTCTGAGATCACCGCCTGGCACAGTGACAGAGTCATGGGAAAGTTGAACACCAGCCACTTCTGAAGACACGGGGCCAAATTCAGCCATGGTGTAAGTGATGTAACTCCCCAGGTTTCAAAAGCAGTGTCTCTTGACACCATGATCTGCCTGGAGCTAGTCTCTCCCAGTGTGACCAAATGCCAAAGCTCCCTCTTTCTCTGGGTGGTGGCATCTACACTACCCATTCCCAGAAATCCCACTACTTGGTCTTTTGAACCCGCTGCCCCAATGTCCTATGGGGACATGAGACAGGATCATTCATTTCCATGGGGATTTTCCTCAACCCACAGTCCCTCCTCACCACTCCTTGTGGACCACTTCTTCATTCCTTTCCCCTCAACGTTCTCCAAATCCACTCCTCTGACTTCATTTGCCACTGTTGTGCTTTGTGCTTTCGCAGTTTCCTTCCCCAAAACACACTTGTGCAGTGTGGCTGTGCTATTTTGCAGACACCTGGTTTCCCCATATGGTTAGAAATGAAAAATGACACTTCAGTAGGTCAAAAATGTTGAAATACAGGTAAGCTGCTATACCCTGTGCACTTTCAGTTCGTTGAGTCTTGGTGTCTCCTGAGCTAAGAGCTAATCATATAACCATATGGAGTGCAGTCTGCTAGAGATTAAGTGAAATTTGTTGCATTACCACACTGTAGCTCTTATTCCAGCTCATCATATGTCAAGATTAACATAAACCTGGCAGAGTAACTGCATTCTGAGGCTGCCTGCACCAAGTCACAGCTCCTCCCCAGAACTGCTGGTGTTCAAATTGTGTCCCCAGGACTGCACTACATCACAGGAGAACACCCTGCACGGTGGTAGGATTGCATCTTCCAATCCCAGGGAATCAGAGACAAAAAGGACTGCTCGTGCCTACATGTGCTCAGCATCTGAAAGCTGCTTTGGGTTCATGTCTACTCAGTCTCTGCCTTTGCATCTGCATCTGCTCAGCTTCTGCACCTGAATCTGTTTAGTGTCCACATCTGGGCCTGCTCATCATCTGCTCCGCACCTGCTCAACATCTGTCACGTTTCCTCAGTGCCTGTGTTCCCTCGGGGGACCCTTTCGCATCACTCTCTGCTTTACACCTGCTCAGTGTCCCCGTAGGCTTCTACTCGCTCTCCGAATCCTCACACTAGCCGAGTAACACCCTCGACAGTGTTCTCCAAGCAGCAGCCTCTTCAGCAAGTTCCTC